AGGTTTGCTATGTCCAGATTTGACTGTAGTTTAAAATTTGAATAAAAAATAAAAGATTACCTTTTTAAATACTTCTTTGACATTGCCACATTCTTTGTGCACTTTTTTTTTTTTTTACGATATTCTTCTGTAAGGATATACTGTGTCCAATGAGCAGATTCTAGATGTCGCTATAAAGGCTGGGTCATACTACCTTTTCCACAAGAATACTCATTATAGGTGCAATTTTGTACGTTACATCTAGCCGTTTTTCGTTCCTTTGTCCACACAGTTTTTTTAAAATATTTTCATACTTCACTCACTTCACTCCTGCAACTTCGTTTACTCAAGGTACTGCTACTGTCATTATCATCATAACCATTATCGTGATCGTTGTCGTGGTAGTGGTCGTTGTCGTGGTCATTGTCATGGTCGTGGTCTGATATGGTGAGAAACTCATTGAACCAAAAAGTAATTTTGTCTATAAACTATATATATCGATATTGAACAGTTGTAATTAGTCATATTATCAGATATGCATTTGTTTAACAAACCAATTCAATAGTTTTTATTTTACTTTATTTGTACAGCAGTTTCTCTTTTATTTATTACTAACCTTCTTTTATCGACTTTGACCAATCTCAGCTTTACATAGCAATACTATGCCGGGTACGTATTTTCTTATTTTTGACTCTAATCACCTTTTTATGCGCATATTAAAAATCGAGATTATCATCACATTATACTTAGCTAACCAATTAAATTACTTTACAAACTCAAGTAAACTAAGTGTTATAAACTTAAATATAAATCAAAAATAAATTATATACTTACAAACTCAAATAAGCTAAGTGTTATAAGCTTAAATATAAATTAAGAATAAATTACCTCACAAACTCAAATAAGCTAAGTGTTATAAGCTTAAATATAAATCAATAATAAATTCATGAATTATTGTATATAAGTGATCGAGAGCAAAAAGGTGCAAGTAAATATTCGACTCAACAAAATATTGTACGATTTGATCAATCAAATTTCAAGATCAGCCTGATCCTGAAATTTGGTTAATCAAATTGTACAATATTTTGTGGGGTCAAATATTTACTTGCACCTTTTCGCTCTGATCACTCATATACTAAATTCTTAAATAGTGAAGGGCACAGTTTCGATTTTTAAATAGAAATCTCTATATATACAGTAAAACCTCCATAAGCGTATCCTCTATAAATGCATAACTTTTTTAAATGCCCAAGATCTCTATAAATGCACTTGTTCTCTAAGTGCACATTGATAAAACTTGGTCCCCAAAATATGCACTTATAGAGGTTTTATCATATACTGTATAAAAGTTAATGCTTACATCAGATATTTAAGAACTATGCTTATATCAGATATTTAAGCACTTATAATTTTTATATCTGAACCTGAACATGTTTATGAACTTCGGACTGAACCCGAACCGAACTTTACTCGAGTTCAGGTTTGGTTCAGGTTCGAGAAATTGTGGGTTTGTGTTCGGTTCATGTTCAAAAATAGCAAAATTCTTGGTTCGGGTTTGGGTTCGTCCAAACCTGAACCAAATCGAACCCGAACATCAGAACACTACCTCTGGTCGATTTCGGTGGCCTGGTTGGTATGGTGTTCACCAAACACCCAGTCCTTATCCAAATTTGCAGCTTTCGGTTTCCTTCTTAAACTTTCTAGAACTGTTGAAAGTATGCACTACCTCTCTACTTAGGACTTGCCAAGCAGATTCCTATTCGGGACTAGTCCACCAGATTTATACAGGTCATAGGGACTTATTGTGGGTTTATACCACCTTTTATCAGCTTGTATCTCTTTGTGTAACTTTTTATTATACGAATTCCCATAATCTTCCAAGTCTGTACTACTGCCCCTAATAGGGCTTACGAAATAAGCCGTCCATTAGGCGATCATTACCCCTTGCATCTATTTGGTCTGACCATTGTTACAGAATCTACATCACAACATCTGAATAATTACTAATACACAGAAGAATTCGATTTTCCGTCATTGGTGGGAATTGAACTCTGGATGTGCCACTTGAGGGGGTGACAACTTGACCACTTCACTAAGTCACCACACCCCAAATTTAAAAAAATATATAATAAATATATAATAAAATTTGTTAATAAAATTTGACTAATAAAAATTGCCTAATAAAATATAATATAATCTAAATAAATTTGACTAATAAATTTGCTAATATAACAATATTAAAGCAAATATTACTTTAAATAAAATTCTGTAAAAAGTGTACTAATAAAATATATAATAAACTATTGTAAAAACGTCTAAAATAAATAAAATATACTATAGACTATATAAATAAACTAATAAAATAATAAAATATATAATAATAATATAAAATATATAATAAAATTTAAGAAAATATATAAGAAAAATATTAATAAAAATGTGTTTATATTATATTAAACTCAAAATCTAGATAACTTTTTTATAAATTACTCTAGTAGGTTTAAATCAAAATTTCTTTTAGATAGTTTCTAATAGTTTGCAACTCATTTTTGTAAAAAATTTTGTAACCTGGCTCTGGCCAAAGAATTCTTATTAGGTTCTTAATACAAAATATTAATAAAAATAAAAGCAAAACCTCACTTTTAAAAAAAAAACAAAAAAAAAACAAACTTTTATAATAAAGTTTTTATACTTGTAAGTTGTTATTATAAGCTGGGTAAATAGTTTATTCTTCTAAAATGCGACTTATTTTACTTCGAAGTTAAACTATAAGAGAACAATAATACAGTATATGAATTACGCCTGTTGATTGGCTGCGTAGTTTGATCTATCTGTCTGCTTGAGTCATGTGATAACAATATGGTTTCTGATTGGTTGACTGCCGCATGTAGATATCCCGTGCCTTTCCGAAAAATGCGAAAGCCCCCCTGCTCTTCAATTTATATATAGGCAAATTGGAGGCGCATTAAAGACTTGCAGTATTTTATAGTGACTACTTGATTTTTATTTTATCTATCAATTAATTCATGATATACAAAGCTTTGTGCATCTTCAAATTTGAATAATAAAGTTTCTAGTTTTTAAGACTATTTGTTGCATGATTTCTGATACATTTTATTATTTAATTATTTATATTAAATGTTACACGTAGTGGCACATGCGAAGCTAGTTAGTCATTATATACGATACAGTTCATCACGCAATTAATAAAATCTTCCTCCGTCATCAGCATCGAAATTGTCAAATCCACCGCCTCCTGCAAAAAATTCTTGATCATCCATATGACTACCACCAGGCATTACGCCTCCAGATGCAATATTTTTACTCTATATAACAAAGAAAATAAGTTAATGTAAAGAGATGTATAAGATGAGAAATACTGTGAACTAAAAGAACAAAGTCTTACTTTAACAAGATATTCTCTACTACAACCAATAAGCCGGTCAGTTTGGATAACACGGTCGCTGACTTTGGTAGCTTTGGCTATCTGTTCCTCAAGCTTGACGATAGTATTTGACGTATTATACATATCAGGATCGTCGTGGAAAGATACCATTCCGCCTTGATCAGAATGACTAATAGTAGCAAATATTTCACGAGATTCAATCTAACGAATCAAGTTCATAACACATTTGGTTAACAACTCACGTGGATGAAAACATACATATGAATTAAGATACGAATACCATTTGGAGAATGTAACGTTCCGCGACCTTAGGGGCCTCCCGACCTTCTAGGCCAATAGTGTCAGCGATATCGACCAATGACAAAGTCAAATAAGTTTGAGTCAACTGCTGAATTTTACGTCGATAAATCGCATCAAGCGTTTGTTTTACTAGACCAAAGTTTCCGTCCTGTTTATAAAAATTTAATTATGTAAATAAATTTCTGACTATAATAAATATACATTATAGCCCATTACCTTTCTAAAAGTTTCGCTGCATTTGTTAAACTCATTTCTAAGACGTTTAACATTTAGGCTCTCAAAGGCGGATGCGTAGTCTTGATAGGCTTGACATTGATTTTTGATCGAACGCAAAACTACAGGTGCAGTATATTTCGGAAGTGGAATAATCTATAACGATAATTAACAAGCTGATTTGATATGAAATAAAAAGACTTCTGGTTACTGAAGTCAATAAAAATAATAATAATGAACAAACCTTTCCGTGCAACAGCAATGAAACTAAACTAAACTTTTTATACGCTTCAGCTTGAATTTGACTAGTGACAATAGCCGGTGCGGATATTACCTTTAAATAAATACATTAAAAATAATAATATATACATATTAACCAACATATTGAACAATCCAGAGACACTATGCTATTTAAATATCTTACCAGTGCGAGGAAGTTAAGGGCACGCGAATAATTCTTTAATCCAATGTAAACCATTGCTCCATAGTAATGGTACAATAGATGATCTATGTACGAGATGCCCGTTCCCTGACATCAACTATAATGTTAATTTTAATTCTAAAACACGTAATTTACAAAATTTGGGCTTTTATTCACCGAAGTTTCAATTTCAGTTATATCGTTATCCAATATTGGAAGTGCTTGTCTATAACATTTGGTCAATAAACATTCCTTTTTGATTAAAATAAATAAAGTAAGTATCAAAATGTTGTATAAAGTCGCAGAAAAAAGAAATTCAACCTTAATAAGAAATTGGTGTAAATTTGTCAAATGATTTACGGATGGAGAATATTTTTGAAGAGCATGCGTGAGCGGTTTGATGGAAATTATACTCTAAAAATTTAATCTTGTCAGATATTTGATTCACCATAATTTAAATAAAAGAATCTAATGAAACTACAGCTCACATTTCCATATAAATTTGATATCCTGCATAATCCTTGAGCAACTTGTAGAACTATTAATTTGGAATCAAAAAAAAGTCTATTTTGATCAGATTGTGTAGGGTTTAATGCTTATGATAATTTTTTACACACATTTTTCGGGTACCAGTCGAATGTGGTTCGGATCGAAACTTCGTAAGAATTCAAGAATGTAAGTTAATAAATTGGCCACATCGGGTCTTTCTACATTACAACGTGCAACACTGTATATTATGAAAGATTAATTAGCACAACATATCAAGTGAGAGCAGTATAAATGAATTCACAACATACAGGAAGTATGCATAGGGCACAGTATAGAGGAATGGATCGAGACGTTCGAGAGGATCCTTATTATCTGCGGCACTTTGCAAGAAAAATTGTTGTGGAAGTTGTTTAAGAATTGGTAAAATATGCTTTACAATGAATTCTGCGCGATCATCATTATGATTTAAAAGGACTTCAATAAGTTCATCAACAGTTCCAACTTGTTGGATAGGCATTGTTTAGGCTTTTAGAAAGAAAAAAGCTAAAGAATGGCAATATGCCAAAGAACATTTTTGTATAATTACCCGGGTCAGGTTTCATGGAAAGACATTTATATGATTGGCTAATTTATGTAGATCTAAACGTGATAATTAACCAATCATATTTTATGATTGCAGTTTGCAAAATTATTCAAATATCGATATTGGAGCAGTTTTTAAGAACCTAACGCTAATCGATTTTTTTTTTTATCTACATACGAAAATTTGCAAGTGCAATAATAGTCAATTCGGCGAATTGTGGAATTTCATAAATCCAATTATTTAAAAATTGGGCCTTATTGGTTAAAACCCAAATCTATTAAATACAGATAAAGATCAAATTCCTCAAACCAACCGAATTGTACGTATATCGATATGTTGTAAGTGGGAACGGAATTTCTTTAATAAAGTTACAATCCTAGGTATATAGAATTTTATTTTATCACCTTTGAAGATTAAAAAAAAAAAAAAGAATTTTATTTTATATAAACCTACACCCTAACCCTAATATCCTATGAAATTCTAAATCCACAACATATATCAGTATATCACAATCAAAAACTTTTTTTTACAGTTACTTAAAGCAATTCTTATGTAATGCCCTGTTCCGGATCCAGTCAATGATTCATATGAATTTGATTTAAATTAAGTCGCGTATCTAACGTTAACGTTAAAAATTAAAAGTATACAAGACTTATTGTTATATAAAGACTTTTTTATTTCTTTACACCTGATAGCTAGTCGATATTGCAGACAATAACTTACCACTAAAAGATCAGAATTATTTATCAAATTTTTCAGGAATAAACTCTTTTAACCTTATACCGTTTATTCATAGTTGGACACACAGTCTCTAAGAAAATTATGTATAGGAAACTCTTGTACGTCGTTTACAATTATTTCAAGAGCAACTCGACAAATTACAAGCAGGAGAGGAAAGTTGAAGAAGTCGATTACAATAAGTTCATTTAATTAAGGTTTAATGTGGTCTAACTAGATCTTTGACTATGATTTATGAGAATATTCTTATACACGAATATAGTGCAATTAAGATATTGGTCAAATGTTGTTCGGAAAGGTAATGATGAAGACATTAAACCATTCAAATCCGCTTTTCACACACATAGAGTTATGTATAAAGTATGCTGAACTCGATGGTACAACAACAAAAGAAATGTATGAGCGGTTTGGATTAGAGCTCAACGATTGAAAATCGAGTACACTAAAAAGTTTTATTTTTGAAAATATTGTAGGTTTCTAGCATACACTTAAATTTTATATATTGCAACACTAACCTTAAATGATTTTATATACCGGGTGTTTCAAAAGTCTCACTACTGGTTCCTATTTTTTCAGTATCTAAAATTTTTTTTCCTTACCAAGTAAACTGCCGTTGGGGCTTTAAGTAAAGTTGTAGAGCTCATCAAGGAACAACTAATGATGGGACTTTAGATATAGAGATTACGATGATTATTTATACAAATATGTATATAAGGTCACTGAAAAAATAGGGACCACTTTTGAACCACCCGGTATTTAAATATGTCACTTAAAATATAATAATGAGTCCGGAAAATGAAAATAATTACAAATACGGGCCCAAATTAAAAATAATTACATATAAAGGCCTAATTATTTAAAAAATATTACATATAAGGACCCAAAATAATTGTGATGTTATTTAAGCCTGTGGCTTGATCGTTATTAGCATAACGATAAGAAAATATGCATCGATAATGTATACGTACGTACGTACGTACGTACTTATTAAGCGCATAAAAAATGTAATGGTAGATTGTACTGTAAATTATAAACTAAATTTAATAAATTTTATTTCTTTGTATAAAGTTGCTTATTTTTATAACAAATCACTATGATGCAAAGTAAAACACTGCGAATTGCATAATATCGAAGATGTTTGTTCAGCTCTAAAGAGCTACTCTGTTGAAACTTCTCCTTATAAATAAGCTATTTTTATACAATATTTAAGCAAAAATGATTATAACCAGGGCTTCATCTATCCTTTTATCTAATAATCGGTATATAAATACCTATAAATACCTATAATAAAACAATTAATAATCCTATAATCGCGATTTTGAAATCGTTATAAGTTAAATATTTTTTATTATTTTTTAATTTGGGCCCATATTTGTAATTATTTTCACTTTCCGAGCCCTTATTTGTAAATTCCTTAATAAAAATAGAGAATTGCTATTTCCACCCCCATTTTTGCTAATGCCACCCCAAAATTTAAAAAAGTGCTCCGAAAGAGGTATTAATATTAAGAAAACCTTCTTTTTGGTCTTAATAAAAGTTGTTCATCAGGCTTTTCCGGTTCTGATGGTACTAGTAGTTCCTAAGATATTTATATTTGTAGTTAACTTTTATTTATTTAAAAAAAAAAAAAAAACCCATCAGTCCGATTTTAATGATTTTATAACCATTTAATGATTTTATACCATTAGAACCGGAAAGGCCTGATAAACAACTTTTATTAAGACCAAAAAGAAGGTTTACTTAATAACAATACCTCTTTTGGAGTACCTTTTGATATCTGGAGGGTGGCATTAGCAAAAATGGGAGGTAGAATAGCAATTCTCTAAAAATATTAAGATTTTTTTCAAAAAAAAAAAAAAAACCTATTTACGTATTTTTTTTTCAAATTTAACACCAGTGGTTACGAATTTCCTACTTCTTGACTTCTTGTAAAATATAATGCAATTCAATTCTTTATTCATTGAACTTATGTAAGGTTATAATCAAAATAGTTTCATTATATTAATACCACGATATTTAGATGTATCTTAATTCACTTAACATGCTGTAAGTTAAATTAGACTCGCTAGAGACGCATAAATAGTTATGTCGTCTGAATCTGTTAATGTTTAAATTTCCAGATAAAATTTTTTCAAATTGTTAAGATTTTTATATGTGCATCAGGTTTAGATTTGATACTTTATTTCGAAATAACTCGCAAGCAGACAATATTGCTATTATTTTCGCAACTAAAAGTATTAAACTTTTTTACATTTAGATATTTTAAAGTATACACTTCACGGATTAGTCGAGATATTATGCAGCATTGTAGCGTATGCATGATATGTATAGAGACCAGTGTCTTAAATTGATTTGTGGAAGGGCGAAACGCACATTAAAAATATTTTCTGCACCTTAAAAATTAACGGAATGCGCACATTAAAAAATTTTAAATTCATATATTTTTTAAGTTTGATGTACGCTATACTTATTATGCAACATTATACGTATAGTATATATATGTACGTAGTATGATAAAAATTAGGCTGTTTGAAATTACAATTTCATTTAACGTTCTACCTCCCTCCCTCCAAGAGCCCCGAAATTAAACAGGCCAATCAGGATGTTCATTATGCTTTGAGATTCCGATAAGACATGTGCTTATAAACCAACCAATAATAATGTGATTAATTCATTTATTAAATAATCTATAATCTATTAATGTTAATCATACCGATATAATTAAAAAACTATACATTTTTATTAACGTTAATTAAATACATTTCTAAATACAAAATATGCTAAACATATGCGTTAATTTTGTTTGAACCCCAAAATTTAGTATGTTCAGTAATGTTAGTCAGATCATTTGATTTATGTACGATCACTAAAATTATCACTAAATAAAATAATATATATTTATTGAATTCGAATCAAATAAAAATATCGTATACATTTTTTTTTACCTTTTCACACAAGCATATTTATAAATATGTCACAAAGCAAGTGCAAATCCATATATAATTATGAACATAATTATCCTCAAAATAAAATAATTAAATGTAAAGCAAGATCATATATATTTACATACAATATTCTTGAATTTATCCGTTATCAGATATTCTAAAACGAACAGCAAAGCCTAAACAATATAAAATACCTGACAAATATAAAATTAAAACCACATGGAGTAAAGTTAATAAAGAAATTACAATCATCGCTTCGATTAATTATGTTGATCAAAAGCTAATTTACAAAATTCAATGGACTGACAATATAACCTGTCAAGAAAAGAAAATTGAATTGAATAAATCAACATCTAAAGCAGCATCATTATTTACAATGGTATATAATTTATATTTAATTTATATTTAGTTATATTAATAATATAAATTTAAAATTTAATTGATGATCCACGAATAAACGAGAATTTGTGTTAATAAAATCTATAGCGACACATATAAAATATCAAAATCAGCATTCCTGACTAAGTAAAGTTAAATTTTTATTAAGTTAATGTTTTGTAAGTTTCTAATGAAAGTTGTAGAACTAGTTTTTGTGATTCTAATGATAGTAAGATCGGTAAAATTAGTTAAATAGATAAAAAGTTATGAGCAATTTAAGGTTAAAAAATTTTACAATACTATAGGAATTATGATTCTGACTTAACATTTTTTTACTATGTTTTATTATAAAAATTTCTCCAGTGTTAAGTTCTCGTTTACTCGTGGATCATTAATTAAGTTTAATTAAATTTTATTAGGAATATCATAAAGGAAAAACAACTAAATATTCTATATTTGGTTTGCATTTAGAGTTTGTAGAGAAGGGGCGAATTAAAAAGCAACATTCTAAAGTATTACAACTAATTGATAATTTAAGCTTGTCAGCTCAAAGAGATTGGGCTAATAAAATTGCTAAATTAGAATATCAAACTTTTAAAGAAAAATGCAAAAGTCTTTATTATTCAAATGATAATCCTACTTTACAATCTTTAACATATAAAGTATCAAATCAAACTTGGATTATTGATTTTAATTCCAAAAATAAAGAAAAAAAAGAACAGCAGGCTGAATAAATGGTTTATACACTTGATCAAGAAAATATATCAAGAGAGTCTTATTGATCTTTAGCAGCAATTTTATTTGAATTACCTAGAGAATATATAGTTGCAACTCCTAGATATCAAATTGATAGTATAATGAAACTAGAAGTTC